TCCTGGATGTGGCTGCTGGAGGGGGCCAGGCTCGCTGCAGACCCGGCCGGGCCCTGTCACCACTGGGCTTCCCAGGGGGAGGTGGCCTCCTTTGGCAGCTGCCCCTGAGCCCCCTGGTTCAGCTCCCCTCAGCTCCGAGACCCCGAGGAGAGGCATCGGCGAGGCCGATTGATGGGGACGGGCCCTCAGGGGCCACGCGGATGTCAGCCTCCATCCAACAGAAATGTGAAGGGGCAGCCGTGAAGGGGAAGGACGCTGCAGGGCACAGAGGTTGGGTGGGAGGTCTGTGTCCAGTGCACTGCGCAGCACCCACCGGGAGAGGCCTTTCACCCATTCACAGCCACTTACTGATCCCGTGAGAACTTAGCCTGTGACGGCGTAGATGATAGCGATGTTGGTGACAGCCACGTTTCATCCTTATGTGTGTGCCAAGGACTTTTGTGCTGAAAGTTCGTCCGTGTTCTCACGCTGAGTCCCCACAACCACCCACCGGGGTGCCCACTGGCGTTATCCCACTTTTGAGGAGAGAAAACCAAGGCCAGGGTGGCTCAGGACATGCACCTGGTGGCTCTGGCCCTCGGTCTCTGGGTAAGGACTCAGACGAGGGTCTAGGGGATTTCGTGCTGAATTTCTTCCCAGCACCCGTGGGCGCTGAGTCACTTTTCAGAGGAGGAGTTGGTGGCCCCGCAGCATCTGATCAGATTTTATCTGCACAAGGGCCCGGAGGGATTGGCCTGCTTCGCTCCATTTTCTGAAGTGGACAATAGAGGCTCAGGGCAGAGAAGGTCCTTCCCAAAGTGCCTTTAAGTGGAAGAGCTGATATTTGAAGTCTTTAATCCCGGGCTGCGTTCTGCACCCAGCGTGAGAGAAGGGACCTGCTCAAGTTGGCTCCTCACTCTCCTGTGGCACCAGGAGTGACCTCTCGTGTCCCTCACATCAGCAGGACCTTAAAACCTGCGATCCTTACCTGGGCACCCACGGGGCCTGCAGAACCCAACCCACTTTTCACACCTGAGCAGATCCGATGTGGGATAGCGGCACCTAGTGTTAAGTCGTGGTACTTCACCCCAGATCTTGGCAATTCTGAATGTTCTGGTCACTAGCTAGTGAGCACCTACTGTGTGCTGAGCCTGTGTGCTGAGCACCTACTGTGTACAGATGAAAGAGGTGGCCCCTCCCTCAGGGAACCCACATCTTAGATAATATGGACTCATATAACAGAACAACAGACAGAACAGAAGGCAGGAGACGGGCAGCCCCAGGCTGGGCACACCGGGGAGGTTTCCCCAGCAGAGGTAAAATGTCAGAAGAGGGAAGGGCATTTGGACAGTGGCAGCCTGCAAAAGCTCAGAGTGCCCAGGGAAGGTGGGGTTGCCCGAGAAAATACAGGGCACACAGGGCTAGGGGCAAAACTCAGTGGTAGAGCATTTGCCCAGCAAAGGCCCTGGGTGTGATCCCCAGCATGGAAGGGAGGAAGGGAGGGAGGAAGGAGGGAAGGAAGGAGGGAGGGAGGAAGGGAGGGAGGGAAGGAAAGACACAAGATTAGATTTGAATTTTTTGTACTGGGGATTAAACCCAGGGCCACTCAACTGTTGAGCTGCACCCTTCTATTTTTTTGTATTTTGAGAGGGTCTCACTAAGTGGCTCAAATTCCTCGAACTTGTGATCCTTCTGCCTCAGCCTACGGAGTTGCTGTGATTAGGGGCAGGAACCACCACACCCAGTTAGATTTGAGTTAAAAAATAATGATTTTTAGTTTATGACCCCAATACTGCACGGGACACACTAACATACTACCTATCCACACACATCTTTCAGGCGCAGTAGCACACACCTGTAATCCCAGCAGCTCAGGAGGCTGAAGCAGGAGGATCGAAAGCTCAAAGCCAGCCTCAGCAACTTAGCAAGGCCTTAAGTCTCAAAATAAAAAATAAAAAGGGCTGGGGATGTGGTTCCGTGGCTAAGCACCCTGGGTTCAGTCCTGGTGCCAACACACACACACACACACACACACACACACTATATATATATATATATATATAATATGTATCTACATCTGAAGTTGATGCTCAGCCGAGCCACCTGAGTGTGTGTAGACCTGGCAGCCCCCTCAGGGAAGCAGGGAAGGAGGAAGTAGTTGGGGACGGAGAAAGTGTGAAGGACCTTAGGGATGGGATGTGGCAGGCAAAGGAGTCGGCCTCACACTGTGGCGCTGGGGAAGGACTCTGTGTGCAGGACCCTGGGCTTGGTACAGGAGAACAAGGGACAGCCCCTCCCTCGTGAACCCACAGTCAAGGTGGCCAAGGGGCCTGAAGTGGCAGAAATCCCCTTCCTGTGGCACTTCCTGTGGCAAGTGCTCGGGGCCCTGAGAGAGAGAGGCACATCTGGCCTGGAAGTCAGGGAGGCTTCCTGGAGGAGGAGGCAGATGACCTGCACAGGAAGAGACCTCCTGTCTGCTGCAGCCCCTGGCAGGACACCTGCAGGTCAGCCCCTTCTCTAGCCTCCACCCCAGGCTCTTGCTCCCCCTTGCTTCCCCCAGGCCAGGTCTCAGCTCACCGGGACCCACCCCCTGGCAGCGGGAGCACCCGTGGCTCACTTCAGCCTGTGAGCAGTGCTTTGAGGTGGGGGGTCTTATTACTCCCACTCCACGGAAAAAAGGAGGAGACACAGAGTTCAGGAGGTCACCTCAGGCTACAGGGGCACTAAGTCACAGAGCCAGGACTTGAACCCAGGAGGTGTGGCTCCAGTTTGGGACCTTAACTTCCATGTGACAAAGCCTGGGTGGCCTTGCTCCTGCTCATCTCCATTGCCTCAGGAGGGCTTACGGGGCTCCCAGGTGTATGCGTGATTGGCGGGCGCCATGAGGCGCGTGTTTTTCTGGATGAGGGTCCACGGGTTTTTATCCATTCCTCCAAGAGCTCCATAATCCTCAAACGGTTGAGATCCTCGCACCTCTTACTTTGCTGGGCCGATCCCTGAGGCCAGGCTTGTGCCTTAGCTCCCTGTGGAACCCCAGTGGCCAGCCAGGCCCAGTGCAGAGAGGGCACTTGGGAAAGTACCTGCTGGTGGCTGACAGATGCCTGGACCCCTGTCCCGTGCACCAAGCCCAACCACCTCTGCTCTGAGAGCACAGCTGGAACTGTGGCACCCCATGCCGTGGCTGGGAGGCCGGAATCAGTGTTCCACGCCTCTCAAAGGAGGGGACATTAGATGTCCCAAAGCATGGACATTAGATGTGGTTCCCGGCACAGGCTGGTTTTGAGTCCCAAAGCCGCTGCCACCTGTTACACATGACCTTGAGCATCGTTTCCCTTTCTCGGCCTTTGTTTTCCTCTCACCCCAGGGCGGGGCTGAGAAGAGGCCCCTTACCTTGACCCCTCAGGGCCCGGGACAAGGGGCAGGGGCAGGAGTAATAAGAGAGAGGAGGAGGCAGATGACCTGGCTCAGGAAGAGACTCCCCCTGCTGTCTCCAGGCACCTGTGGGCTAGTCCTTAGGGTCTGCACCCACGGGGCCACTTGTCGTGTGTATTGGTCAGCTGTTGCTGAGATGATGCTGCAAAACAAACTGTCCCCAAAACCCAGTGGCACACGACAACAAGCCATCGTTGTTCTTGCTCCTGGATTTGTGTCTGGGAACCAACTAGCTGGCCCCGTTTCAGCCTAGGAGTTGGGCCAAAGTATCCACCGGTTCTCACTCTGGAAGCAGCTGTGGCCTGGGGCGAGCCTCTCCAAGGCACGTGGTGTCAACACAGAAGTCAGGCCACGTCAGCAAACGCGCAGAGCTTGCCCGCCCCCCTGCTTGCTCTGCTCGCTCGCCACGTTCACCAACATCGCGTCCGCTAGAATACTCCCATGGCCATAGCAGGTCACCTGGCTAAATCCAGCAACCATGAGGCAGAGAAAGACACTCTGCTCACTGCAAAGTCACGTGGCCAAAGGGCGTGGCCTTGTGACAAAGGGGGCCAGACCCACCCCACATGGGAGCTATGGGCAGCGGGCAGCAGGCCGTGGGCAGCAGGCCGTGGGCAACAGCCCCACTAACCCTCTTCTCTGTTCCCCGGCAGGAGCTCAGTGAGTACAACGCCACAGCCATAAAAAGTCCCACCAACACAGTCACCGTGCAGGGCCTCAAAGCCGGCGCCATCTATGTCTTCCAGGTGCGGGCACGCACCGTGGCCGGCTATGGGCGCTACAGTGGCAAGATGTACTTCCAGACCATGACAGAAGGTGAGGAGCCCAGGGAGCAAGGGGGGCACCGTTCCACAGAGAGAACTAATCCAGGGCCCCCTTCCCGTGAAAGCTTTGGGCAGATTGGAAAGGCTCCCCTCCTCCAGGCACCAGCCTCCCTCCCTCCCGGTTGCAAACCTTTGGTCAGTGCACAGACCGCACAACCCTTCAGGGCGCCTCTGCTTCTGTGGTCCAGAAGAGATACACGCTTCTCAGTCACCATCCCATCGGCCAGGCCACTTCCCTTCCCAGGATGCTGGGAAGCTCAGGCCTCACCTGCGGGGCCACTCGGAGCAAATCACTTCATTTCCTCCTCCAGATTTTTCTCATCTATAAAATGATAATTTCATAGTCAATCTGAGAGAGTAAACGTATTCGATCCATAAATGACCGCCAAGACTTGCAATGGGACTGAGAATTCAGAAGCCGCATCTAAGTTCAGCAGGAGGTGCCGCGATAGATTAGTCATGTCTGCCCGGGCAAGGGAACAGGGGCCGTGGCCTAAGGAGTTTAAAAGGAGCGTGACCTCAGTGACCTCAGATGCCAGGCAGACGGGGTCACCTCTCTGACCCTCAGTTGTTTCTTTTTAGCCACAAGTTGGGGTGATAACAACTACGTCATCATCCTCACCGTCAAACTAGTGTAAGGACAAGGGACGCAGCGCACGGCTGGTTTCAGGCTCCCGCGGCTTGGCCCTCGTTGACTAGTAGCCAGCGCCGTGGCTGCGGGTCTCCGGGGCCTCTTTCCAGGCAGCCACACCATCTACAGGTCCCAACGGTTCCACGGGGCACCTTCACTGCGCCCAGGCTCCAGTGTCCCTTTTCAGCATCTGCTCAGCTGCTCAGCCCGGGCCTTGGCCTCTGTGTGGCCGAACGTTTCAGAGGCTCCCGGGCCCTAAATTCGCGTCTTAGCGTCATGAACCTACTCTTACGCTGACTGATCTATGGCGGCACTTCCTGCTGACCATCTCTAGGCACTTCCTAGGACATGACCTTGGGCAGATCACGATCTCCCGAGCTCAGTCTCCTCCTCTGTAAAATGGGGTCACTGCAGGAAGGGCATCAACGGTCCCACAGAGAGGACCTGGCACCATGGTGACTCGCGCTCGGGGACTCTGGCTCCAGAGTGAGCGCTCTGAACGGCCTCTGGGTTCAGGTCAGCTGGCATGACCGTTGGTTGTCATAGCAACACGGGATGTAGGTGTCGTGCCCATTTTATAGATGAGGGATTGGGGAGTGGACCGATTCACAGACTCGTCCAAGGTCACTTGTAAGCGGAGGCTTTCTCCATTCAGACACGTGACGGGGGCTGTCAGGACGAGGACAGGGCCTGGGGACCTGGGGGGAGGGGCAGGGGTGCAGCGTTAGGACCCCCGAGCCCGGCTGAGACGCCCCTGTGCTTCCTCCCAGCCGAGTACCAGACGAGCATCCAGGAGAAGCTGCCCCTGGTCATCGGCTCCTCGGCCGCCGGCCTGGTCTTCCTCATCGCCGTGGTTGTCATCGCCATCGTGTGCAACAGGTGGGTGGCCCGGGCCCCTCAGGCCCCGCTGTCCCCGAGGTTCCCTCCCTGTGTGCAAACAGAGGAGGCCACAGCTGTCCAGGCTGCGGGGGGCGGGGGGGACTCTGTAGGCCCAGACGCCACGTGACCGTCCACGGTCCATCCCTTGGGAGGCCACGATGCAGAGGGTGGCCCAGCGAGGCACAGACGCTGCAGCACCGAGGGCGTCTCAGCACAGTGGACACAGAGGACTTGAGAATGGCAGGAGCTACAGGGACACGGGGGCAGTGCAGACCACCCCAGTGTGCGCTGGATAAAGTGGAGGACTTAGGAGCCAGGCGGTGGGGGGGGTGGACCCGGCCTCCCAAGTGGCCAGCCCAGCAAGAGGAAGGGCAGGAGGGACCGACCCTGGGCTCTGCTGGGCACAGCGCAAAGAGCCTCTCCCCCCCACACACCGCCCAAGAGTCCCCACCTTCAGACGGACCAGACCATAAGTGCACAGCGCCCCCCGGTGACGGGGGCTGGCAGATGGGGTATTTCTCTTTAAAGGGGCGTGGCTGCACAGGGAAGAGGGCAAGACTGAGCCTGGACCTAGGCGGGAAGGGACAAGTGGGACCAGGAGGGCCAGCCACTAGGCAGGGGGCGCCAGGGAGCCACCTGGCAGGGGAGTGGCTTCCGGGCGTGCCCACCCTCTCCCTGTCACCTCCTGTGGCTCCCAGCTCCCTGGACACCTCCAGGTGGCTCCAGCCCTTTGCTCTTGTTCCAGAAGACGGGGGTTTGAGCGCGCCGACTCCGAGTACACGGACAAGCTGCAGCACTACACCAGCGGCCACAGTAAGTACGCACCCGCGGCGATGCCCTGGGCCCTCCGCCCCGGGCCCCAGGGACCTCCCCAGCCCCCTCTTGCCGGGCCGTTGGTGACAGCTGCTTCCTGGGCTCTCCACCATTCCAACAGGGTCCCCTGAAGACCCCAAGCTGTGCCTGACATTCTCCAGGGCTTCCTGGTACTGCAGGGTGCTCAGCGCGTAGTAGGTCCTGGACACCCATCTGCAGAGTAAACAAACTGATGACCGATGGGGTGACGGAGCCCCAGGCCCTGGCCCAGGGGAGAGAAAGGCAGCAGGCCCCTTCCTCCTGGTGGCCACCTCCCCCACCGTCAGTGCCCCTGACCCCCACTGTCCCCGGGCTGGGGATGCACGTGCCACCCACGCTCCCAGAGCAGAAGGCCAGGCAGGCAGAGGGGAGAAGTGGATTCGGAGCCTCCTCCCCGGGCTCTCGGCAGCATGGTGACCAGGCAGCGGGAAGCACAGGGGCTGGGGGAGGCTCATCCGACAGGATGGAATTCCAGCAGGTCCCTCACGGTTCTCAAACCGTACTCGGTGGGGTACCCTAGGGTGCCTCGGATGGTCACCTCCGGGAAAGAGGGGCCTCAGCGCATCTGTGGAGGGTTCACTGTGAAGTCCAGGCACTGGCCTAGACGCCGGGGACCAAGGAACATGAGCTAAACCCCCCCGCCTCTGTAGAGTGCGTTCCAGAGGAGGGCAGGGAATTCAAAATGTAACCGCTGAACAACGTGGTGCGTGAGCAGACGCAGCCCTGGGGAAGAGGCAAATAGAGCAGGACCAAGGACTGAGTCGCAGGGGTCGGGGCTGCAGGGAGTTGGGGCTGGCCTCGTTGAGAGGGTCTCTTTTGAACAAAGAGCCAGAGAAGCTGGAGATTCCCAAGGGAAGGGCATTCCAGGCTGCGGGAACAGCCAGTGCAAAGGCCCTGAGGCTGAGCCCGGCAGTGTTCGGGAGCAGTAAAGAGGCCGGTGTGACCGGAGCAAAACGAAGGGTGGCCAGGAGGGACCCTCAATATGCAGATTCTTGTCGGCCATGGCAGGGCCTTGGCTTTTACTCTCCGTGAAATGGGGAGCCACAGAAGTTTCTGAATAGAGGACTCATGGGCTCTGAGCTACGCCCTGGCAGGACTTCTTGGCTGCTGTATGGAGAATGGACCCCAAAAGGGCTGATGCAGGGAGATCAGTGAGGTGGCTGTTGGAATCATCTGGGGGGACATGGTTGTGACAACACCTGGTGGCGCCGGGGGAGGTGGGAGGAAGTGGTTGGATTCTTGCATCTTTTGCCCATAGATTTCCTGCAGGCCTGGGTGTGGGTGTGAGCCAGAGAGTTCCAGGCACTAAACCTCCAGCTAGACCACTGGAAGGACGAGGTCCTAGGCCTAGAAATAGTTCTGAGCCTGGACGTAAAAATAAGTGGACCATTAAAACGCCCGGCAGACCCTGGAAGTACCCACCAACAGGGAGACAGAGAAGACTTCCTAAGCATAAGGCAGAAAAAGGAACTCAAGGGAAAAGGGACACTTTAACTGCCCAGGAAAAAAAAAAATCACCTGTCCTTTAAAAATAGGTCATCCAAGCCAAGCAGGGTGGCCCACGCCTGCAATCCCAGCAGCTCAGGAGGCTGAGGCAGGAGGATCGTGAGTTTAAGGCCAGTCTCAGCAACTCAGCAAAACCCTAAGCCACTCAGTGAGCCCCTGTCTCTAAATAAAATGCAAAATAGGGCTGGGGATGTGGCTCAGCGGTCGAGTGCCCCTGGGTTCAGTCCCTGGCACCAAAAAAAAAAAAAAAAAAGTCATCAATGATCAATGACATCCCTTCCACTTGTCCCCAAGTAATGAAATCAAGAGGGCCCATGTGGCCGGACATAGTGCCTTCTATGTGCCCAGAATTGTTTTAATGCTTAACGTGTGATCATCCATTTAATCCTTTTAACGTCCCACTTGGAATATGAGTAAATGAGGCCCGGGGTCGCTCAGCTGCTCAGAGAAGGAGCCGGGCGTGAACCCCAGCCCAGGGCACCAGAGCAAGCACACTCAGCCACCCTGTGCCACCTGCCCTCTGCCACCTACCCTCTGCCAAGCCAGGGGAACCACGCCCTGCCACCTGGAGCCATCTGGGAGCGCGGTTATTTGGAGCTTTCTGGAGCTATTTGAGTCCATAACCAGGAAACAGGTGAGGGGTGTTTTAAAAATAGACCCAGGATCTGTTCCTAGATCAGTACACTTTACAGCTGCAGTTCACACTCCTGAGTCCTGCGCTGTGATGTCGCATCTGAGCAGGACTTTGTTCTTTTCAAAGCACGGCCTGCCCTGTGATCCCAGACCCACCCAGCAACCCCGTGTGGCCAGGGCACAGGAGGAAGCTGAGGCCCAGAGATGCATGTCACTGCAGAGTCCCTGCGTGGGCTCCTGTTTCCCATCCTTAAATAGGTGCTGAGGGGGGACCAAGGCCTGTGATGCCTGGATGAGGAGTCAGAGGAACCGACCCTGTTTCTCATCCCTCCTCTGCCGCTGGCCAGCTGGGCAACCTTGGGGAAGTTACCAAACCTCTCTGAGTCTTGGCATCCTTACATGGGAGATAACAGGAATGGAACCCTTGTTTCACAGGGTTGTAAGTGAATTCGTGGAAGCTAAGGTGCTTTATAATAATAGTACTTAGCAACAGGCAACTCTTCTTTACTAACAGGTAGTTGGTTACCGCTTTCTATTTGCAACCGAGGTACTAAGCCCTTTAATAAGATATTCTCACTTAATCCTCACAATCCCCTAACGAGGTAGATGCTTATTATACCCGCTTTGCGGATTAAAACAAGTGAGCCAAGGTCAGGTGACTTGCCCAGGGGCACACAGCAGGATCAACGCGGTGGTTGAGCCTGGATTCAACCTGGTGACTGTCCTTAGCGGCAGAGTTGGAATTCAAACCCAGGACCCTGCCGGTGTGCAGGGTCCTCCCCACATCCTGAGGTTCCCAGCTGGCTTCAGGATGACCGTCAGAGGCCCTGACCGCTGTGAGTCACACAAACAACAGCACGGTATCTGGGGCAGCCTGAGCCCACGGAGGTCCTCATCCAGGCTCAGCCAAGCAAGGGCTGCTCCCCGGGGACGGCCCGCGTGCGGCCCTGGCAGCTCTCGGCAGGAGCCGGCCAGCGTTCCCTAAGACCTGCCAACTCTTGTCCAGGCCAACACCCCCAGGGACCAGATGACCTGGCACCCAGCCCCCCCACAGTGGGGGCCAGGCCTCCTGACCAGCACCCTCAGTCAAGGCTTGAGGGTAGTATTTAATGATGGGCTTTGAGGTCTTGCTGTTGTCCCCCTCAGCTTCCCTGGACCCCCATTCCTGTCCCTTGTCCCTGGCTGGCCCAACAGGAAGGGTCTCCCCGGTTCTGTTGGGAGGAAGCCAACCACCTTGCAATGCCATGCATTGCATCTGACCGACAAAGACCAACTCCAGGGAGCTGATCCCCAGCCCTGAGGGGCGGGGAGTGGGGAAGGAGGATCGTGGCTGAAGGCTCCAGGTGGAGGAGGCTGGGCCAGATCCAGGAAGCAGTGAACGTGGCGATTGATTGAGAGTACTAGCCCTGGCTCAAGGCTGACAGACCTGGGTTCAAATCCTCCCTGTGCCGGCTGTGTGGGCTTGGCCCGATTACTTGGCCTCTCTGAGCTGCAGTTTCCTTATATGTGAAATGGGGGGAATTATCCTTTCCTCCAAGAGTTGTTGGAAGGAAGAGATGATTTAATGCCTATAAAGAACCTGGCACGGTGTTGGGCCCAGACAAAGGATTCAGTAAGTGACAGCTGCTGGTGTTATTGTTCTGTCTCTGTCATCTGGATTCTCTCGGCTCTGCAGACGGGTAGGGCCTGTAGGGCTCTGCACAGTGTGCCAGGAGAGGGAGGAATGGGGACAGATCTGCGCCCACGCCTCCTCCCAGGCTCTCCGTCTTGGACGGTGGTTCTTCACCTCCTTTGAGGTCTCAGATTCCTGTGAGACTCTGATGAACGTGTTGGATCCCATGTCTCTGTGTGTAGGTGTAGAAAAGTCTAAGATAAAAGGAACTGGAGATCTGTATTCGGGCTGGGTTTTCAGGGAGTTTTTTTTCAACTACCTTTATTTCCATAAATTTTGGACTTTATAAAGAGCATGAGTTTCTTTTTGAATTTAAAAAGGAAGTAAAAAATGCATTCCGTCCCAGGAGGTTACCAGACCTCCCAGAGTCCACCCTGGGGGCTGCCAAGCGACTCACGGGCCCCGATGAACAACCCTTGACCTACAGGGACTGACAGCACCCACACAGAGCATCCCAGATCCGGCTAACGTGTCCGAGCAGCTTTGGCCAACTTCTCTGTACGGGGCAGATGGTGGATCTCTTGTCTCTTCCCAACTCTGCTGCCGGATAAGAGTAGCCATAGGCAAAGGAATGAGCGTGGCTGTGTTCCAATAAAACTTTATCTACAAAACGGGCAGGGGGCCAGTCCCAGGCTGTGATACAAGCTCCAACTCCTGGGTTCCTGGAGTGTCTGCATTAGAGCTGAGAGGGGTCAGCTAGCACGTCCAAGGTCACGGCTGAGCAGGGTCGATGGCTCCATTCACCACCGTGGGTCAAGGTGGCTGGCTTTCAGCCTTCCTCCCAACAGAACTGGGGAGACCATTCCTGTTGCGCCATCCATGGACAAGGGACAGAAAGGGGGGGGCCCAGGGGAGCTGAGGGGGAGAACAGCAAGCCCTCAAAGCCCACTTGGGCACCTCCACTGCCAACAATTAGATGCCATCCCCTCCTCCTGACTCCCAGAGCTGCTGCCTCCGAAGTAGCCACCCACAGAGCAGTGGGAGAATGTGGGCAGGAAGCTCGGGAGGACCCAGGAAGGCCAGGGTCGGGGAGGCCAGAAGTTCCGGGTGGTAGGTAGACCAGTTGTCCGGGAGGGGAATGCAGATGGACCCTCTTTCCATTCCTTCATAGTGTTTTGCAGTCTCACTAGTGGGTCAGAATTGGGTCTTTGAAGTTTGCCTTGTCTTTTTGCATCAAAAAATAAAAATCTGCCAGGCACTGTGGTGCCCGCCTGTAATTCCAGCGTCTTAGGCTGAGGCAGGAGGACCACGAGTTCAAACCTAGACTTAGCAACTTAGCGAGACCCTGACTCAAAACCAAAAAGTTTAAAAAACAGGCTGAGGATAGAGTTCCATGGTAGAGTGTCCCAGGGCTCAATCTCTAGTACCAATATAAATAAATAGAAATAAATCTACTTCAGGAATCAGATTAGTAGGGCCCATGCCTGGCCTCATGCTGATCAACAGAGAATCAGGGATCGGAAGGGTTCTGGCCTTGACTAGTGGGGGACCCAGGAATTGAGCGAAGGAGCCACGGGTACTCAGACCCTGGTGAATGGAGCATCCCTACAGGCTGTGGGGCCTGCCTGGGAGGGCTATGCAGGTGACATGGCTCAGGGACAGGACGTTTCACCAGGCCTGGAGAGATGGGGGGAGATCTTAGCAGCACCCCAAGAACACGGTGCTCTGAGGCCTGCCCCTTTTAATTCCAGTTCCAATTCTCTGTCTGTCTCTTGGCTTTTTCTTTCCTTACTCGGCACCCCTGTTCTCTATCCTAGTCATCTTCCTTATTCACCTGGGCCACACCCAGAGCAGACATCACTAGTCAACCCAGACCGTCTTACCCACTGCCAAAAGCCGTTAGTAATCAATGAAGTGGGAACAAGAGCTAGAACCTCTCTGTCACCTCTGAGGTCTCTCTGTTCCCCTCACCTTCCTCCTGAGTGCCCACCTGCCCCATGACAGTCCAATGCCCCAAAGGGGCTGGCCCAGTTCTGGGAGGCACTGGCTCCTCTGTTTCCATTTGTGCCCATCAGTCCATGTGACTGGGCCTCATCTTGTCCCCCAGTGACCCCAGGCATGAAGATCTACATTGACCCTTTCACCTACGAGGACCCCAATGAGGCAGTGCGGGAGTTCGCCAAGGAAATCGACATCTCCTGCGTCAAAATCGAGCAGGTGATCGGAGCAGGTAGGTGGCCGCGCCCCTACAGGTACCGTGGCCTCAGCCATGTGGGGTGGAGGGGACCGTCCAGGGTGTACTCCTGGGGCAGAGGGAGGGATGGGGTCAGGACCATGAGGCCCTGGGACCCAGAAGCCCAAGGAAGAGGGGTCCTCAAAGGTCCTCCGGTAAAACCACCTTGCAGACAGAAGGGGAAACTGAGGCACGGGGTGACCAAGACCTTGCCCAGCAAGTCGGAGATTGAATGGGCCCAGAACCCCATTCCCAGGCTCTCCCCCAGGGCCTGGTCCTTCCTGCCGTCATTCATTCCAGATCCCTCTCCCCATTTCCCGGTTCCCTGGGTCCCCACCGGGTGCCACGGGACAACCCTGCAGGACTTACTTTCCCTACTCTCTTCTCCCGAGGTGGCTGGGACTTCAGACGGGTTCTGTGTCTGAGAGGGAGAACTGACCACCTGGGAGAAAGGGCCCCCGCAGGCCCCGGGAGCAGGGGGGACAGGGAGAGGGCGATGACAGCCCGCCTCCCCTGATGTGTCTGTCCCAGGGGAGTTTGGTGAGGTCTGCAGTGGCCACCTGAAGCTGCCGGGCAAGAGGGAGATCTTCGTGGCCATCAAGACGCTCAAGTCGGGCTACACGGAGAAGCAGCGGCGGGACTTCCTGAGCGAGGCCTCCATCATGGGCCAGTTCGACCACCCCAACGTCATCCACCTGGAGGGCGTCGTCACCAAGAGCACCCCTGTGATGATCATCACCGAGTTCATGGAGAACGGCTCCCTGGACTCCTTCCTCAGGGTACGGGGAGCCCAGAGGGTCCAGGGGAGGGAAGGAAGGCTGGGCAGAGCTTCCGACACCAGGCCCCGGCAGAGCTCTAGATCAGGAATGGCCTGTGCTGGCTCCCCCTCCGATCCCTCCCCCGGGGCAGGCATTGCTAATCGATCCCAGCACTCCCTCCCCCCAACCCTGCAGGGGTTCTCAGTGCCTCCTCATTAGCACAGGAGAAGAGAAGGGCAGTATTTGCCCACATCAGCCGGAGGGTCAGGGTGGGAGTTCAGACTGGCACCGGGGGTCTTGTTGCTTTATCCAGGGTTTTCATCAGATCTGAGAATTCCCCAAAACTGCCTGGGCTAGGGAGAGGAGTTCAGAGCCTGAGGCCCACAGAGGACAGTTTTGATGCCCCACTCCCCGGGAGATCAGTCCACCAGCTAGACAGAGGGCACTGGCCTGGGTGGCAGAAACATGCCACTGGACCGGCTGACACCTGGCAAATACTGCCCATGCACCTCCTGTTTATCTCAGAACAGAACCGAGACTCAGAGAGGTTAGGTCCTGGGTCCATAGTTGCACAGCCAGGAAGGGGCAGAGCCAGAGTCAAACCCGAAGCTCCAAAGCCCTGTGTTCTCTCCACCACCCTGAATTTGGCCTCTCCTGGGCCTCTTTGAGGTCCCTGGGCATCTGAGTCCTCCCCACAGGGAGCCCATGGCCAAGGCAGGGGCCCTGCTCCAGTTCCCAGCGTGAGGAGGATCCACAGCTCCAAGGCCTTCTCCTCCGTTGACTCCATTTTCTTCACTTCTCCCAAAGCAAAACGACGGGCAGTTCACTGTCATCCAGCTGGTGGGCATGCTGCGGGGCATCGCCGCGGGCATGAAGTACCTCGCAGACATGAACTACGTCCACCGCGACCTGGCCGCCCGCAACATCCTGGTCAACAGCAACCTGGTCTGCAAGGTGTCCGACTTCGGGCTCTCACGCTTCCTAGAGGACGACACCTCAGACCCCACCTACACCAGCGCCTTGGTAAGGGGAGGCAGGGAACACGGGAGTCACAGCGCAGACAAGCAGGCAGAAAAATCCTGCTGTCCCCACGGCGCACTGACGCCTGCTCAGGCCAGGCCCCGGGCTGGGCCCTAAGATGGGGGCGATGTAAACCATCTGGGCAGGGGGGCAGGTCACCCAGCTCTGGGAGGCCAGGGGTGGTAGAGCTGGCTGGCCGGCATGGTCTCCTGCAAGGTCATGTGACCAGAATGCAGGCTGGGGGTGGGCAGGTGAGGTGGGGGCTCTAGTGCTGGGGAGGGAGGCAGGCCAGAATCTGGAGGCCCATGAAGGCCCAAGGTCAGGTCTTTGCCCTGACAGCTGTTAAGGCTGAAGCGTTCTGGACTGAGGGGAAGAAGCCCCAGGCCCTGTCCTCAGAGACCCCAGAGGAGACCCATGCAAGCCGAGCCAGGCAGGCCGGCCCTGTGTGTGCTGCGCCTGTGTAGTGCCTCCTCGGTGGAGAGATGAGGCACACTTGAGGGATGAAGGGGGCAGCAACTCTTTGGGAGCCAGGGAAGGGCCTTCGGTGGGATTTAAGGAGAGAATAGGGGGTCCTGATGGCAGAGTGGGAAAAGAGAGTCATGCAGAAGGAAGGCTGTGCAAATGGCCCGTGGTCTATGCAGCGTGACGAGTCTGGGAACGATGAGGAGCTCCTCAGGATTCATGCAGCATGGGGCTCAGGGTGGGCAGGAGAGAGAAGGAGCCAGACAGGCCAACCTCCCATCCATTCCCCAGGGTGGAAAGATCCCCATCCGTTGGACAGCTCCGGAAGCCATCCAGTACCGGAAGTTTACCTCAGCCAGCGACGTGTGGAGCTACGGAATCGTCATGTGGGAGGTGATGTCCTACGGGGAGCGGCCCTACTGGGACATGACCAACCAGGACGTAAGTCTCCAAGGGGGCGGACAGATGGAGGAGGGGAAGAAAGGGACCCCTGGCCTTGTGCCAGTCTCCCAGGGATGAGGGACAGGCCTCTGACGTGGAGGGCTGCCAGCCCAGCTCCCAGCCCAGCGTTGACTGATTCCGGGGTGCAGAGTAGCAGGGAAGCCCGCCTGCTCCCAAAGCAGCCCGTTGTCAGCATGCACACGCCTTGTGGCAGCCCTGAGTGAGACCCTCGGTCCTTCCATGTTCCCCACCTAACCTGGGAGACGAGATGAGAATTCAGGGCACCCAGTGTAGTGATGGGGAACTTCTTGGTCAGGTGCTGAAGTGGAGAAGTTGGGCGTCGATCCCTGCAGGCACCAAGGCAAGGGCAGAAGGGACAAGATCAGCCAGGGAGTCTTCCCAGGACAAGTGGGACTCAGCCACAGGACCAGAGGGGTGGGCTTCCAGGGGGGAAAGCACAGCCCAACAAAGGCCCAGAGACGTGATAATGAGGAGGGGTTGGGAGCGGTGGAGAGGAAAGCTGGCCGGAAAGGTTGGCAGGTCCCACGGTGAGGGGTTTCAGCCACCCAGGGATCTCCGCATACAAGAAGAACTTGCAGAAGCCTCCCAGCAGGGAGGGTGACCCCGGTCCAGCTGTGGGAGATGAATCTTGTCCCGGTGGCAGGAGAGATTGCAGAGGGGTGTTCCGCTTCCTTTTCCTGATGGAAGAGCAGGTGGGGGCCATGGGGAGGGGACACCAGGCGGGCTCGAGGCTGTGCTGTGGGACCTGACTGGGAGGTTATCTCTTAGCTGGATCTGTAGGTGACACAGAGGTGGAGAACGAGGCCACCCTGGGGTAGAGCCGGGGGCCAAAGAGAGGAGTTCTTGAGACCGTCAAACCTGGGGGGTAGGAGGAGCTGGTGAAGCCAGGCCCAGGAGGGTCAGCCTGGCAGACCTGGAGAGGCCACCTCAGGGCACTGGACTTGCTGAGGCTGACAGAAGGTACGGCAGGGACCCAGCTCCAGGTCAGACCGAGGCTATAGATGGTGGGAACACAGGTCAGCCCCACCCCAGGTGGTTGCCGTGGCCACCAAAGAGGTCAGGCCCGCAGTGCACAGGAGGCCAGGTGGGCTGGCAGAGGTCAGATGCCAAGCCCACTCTGCCCCTGTGCTGTCTCCAGGTCATCAACGCCATCGAGCAGGACTACCGGCTACCACCGCCCATGGACTGCCCGAGCGCCCTGCACCAGCTCATGCTGGACTGCTGGCAGAAGGACCGCAACCACAGGCCCAAATTCGGCCAGATCGTCAACACGCTGGACAAGATGATCCGCAACCCCAACAGCCTCAAAGCCATGGCGCCCCTCTCCTCTGGGTACAGCCTGCCCCGGACACGCCCCCTGCTCATAGCCCCACCCATCTCCTTCAAGCCCCACCCCTCTGGTCCCAGCCCCGCCTTCACCCCACCCCTCTCCTCTGGATGCCGCCCTGGTGGCCCCGCCCCCTTATCCCGGCCCCGCCCCCCTCCTATGGCAGCTACTCAGGCCGGGCCCAGCTCCCCTCCTGGAGTCTGCTCACAGGGACCCCCTGCTTCAGGCAGCTGCTCTCAGCTGTGCCTTAGGATGAAGAAGGATAAGACTGGTGTTTGGTGGGCATCTGGCCTACTTTGGGGGTGCAGGGAGCACAGGATTAAGGCCGTCCAGAAGAGAAGACGCAGAACTGTGTGGGTGGTGGAGGGGGGCCCCTTATAAAGGCCGTCAGAGAGGACATTTAAGAGAACTCACCAATGGATCCAGCATCGTGGTTGTGAATAGATGTTCCCATCACTAACCGGCTGCCTCACACTCAGACCCAGACCCTCTGATGTCCGTTGTGTATCCTCATCAACATAATGTCTCACACTCACACACACTCACACAAAGTCCTGCACACATAAACACACAATTAGGCACAGGCTCTTGCGCTGCTCACATAGACACCGTCTCAGGCTCCCCCACCTCTACACACTCAAGGCGCCTGCACGCCCACCCCACTCGGAAGCACATACCACACATACGTGTGCCCCCCCACACGTGTACCCCCACACTCGTTGCCCACGTCAGCAAGACTGGCAACCCTGGGAGCGTGAGTCCAGCACACAGGGGCTCCCCTCCTCCCCCAGGCCCCGGGGCCCGCTCCATCAGGCTGCAGCCCACCACGGCCTGCCTTGGGCCACGTCCAGGTCCCACGGCTGCTGACCCTGCACACTCAGTCTTCAGGACCCACAATCCCCCAGGGTTTCTGAGGGCCATCCACTAGGCGTCCTCAGATCCAGGTCTGGCTGAGCCCAGGGACTCCACCAAGTTCAAGTGGCCAAGAGATCAGGCTTGCATCTCTCCGTCGCTCCTCGGCATGCCCTGCATCTCCTTGCCGTGACCTTGTGTCAGCCACTCCCGACTCGGGACAAGATCTTCCTGAGCTTTTAATCTCATGAGAGTCCTTACACCCCTCACCAGCCAGGAAGTTGTTCCCATGAGTGCCACCAGCTTTATCTGCGGGGGGGATGGTTCCCAAGCACAGCCTCCTTCCTAGCCCACAAACCACCGCAGAGGTGGGCGGGCAGTGGCAGTGAGGGACTGTCACAGTCAGCCCAGCCCAAGCCCCTGATCCTGGAAATAGGAAACCCAGAGAGGTACCTCCCCCGCCTCCCTCCTGTGGTCCAGCCTCAGCCAAGCTCCCAGGCAGCCCAGCTTGGAGTCCTGCACACACACACTGGCTCTCACACACACGCACAGAGATGCGGGCATATTCGCACAGATTTGAACCCATGCCCATGAACACACAGAATACGCACACACACCAACCTTGGTTCGCTCAGTAGACATGTGCATGCCCATGTGTACAAAGTAGGTGTGTCCACATACGTTCTTACCCTCACCGTCCCTGCAAGCCTGTGCCCTGACCATCTCTGTCACCCCCAGCGTCAACCTGCCGCTGCTGGACCGCACGATCCCCGACTACACCAGCTTTAACACGGTGGACGAGTGGCTGGAGGCCATCAAGATGGGGCAGTACAAGGAGAGCTTCGCCAACGCCGGCTTCACCTCCTTCGATGTTGTGTCTCAGATGATGATGGAGTAAGTACCCAGCCGCCTCTGCTCGCCACCACTGGCCCCCATGCCCACCCACCTCCAGGGGACCCTGGAGGGTAAGGAGCAATGTCCCAGCCTGCCTGCCCCCCACTGGCTCTGTGGCTGTGGACAAATCAAAGTGGTTCCCTGGGCCTCAGGTTTCCCACCTGTAAACGGGGGTGGGGTGGCAGCCAGGGTGAAGAAGAAACAAAGGAAGGAGGAGGTGCTTAGGGAGAGCGCCTCTCTCCTTCCACGTGGTAGAGGGAAAGGGGAACCCAGGCGCCCTGGCTCCCGGAGTGTTCTTCCGGCTCACGTGGTCACCCCCCCCCAGCTTTGACCGTCCCCTCCCTTGCTCCCCTCAGGGCAGAGTGCCTGGGGAAGCCCACCCCGCTCTGCTGGTCCCAGGCCCTCTCCAGCCCTGATGTATCCCTAACACGTGTGCTTCTCTCCCAAAGGGACATCCTCCGGGTTGGGGTCACCCTGGCTGGCCACCAGAAAAAAATCCTGAACAGTATCCAGGTGATGCGGGCACAGATGAACCAGATTCAGTCTGTGGAGGTGTGACGCTCGCCTGCCTCGGCTCGCCTCTGCCTCCGGGCCGCCCCCTCCGCCCCACACGCCGGCCGCCCAGGTGCCCCGTCTACTGCAGGGTCAGCCACCTGCCAGGAGGCCGCGGGCGACAAGGAAGAACAAGCAGCGCTCTAGGACGTCACCAAGAACACGTACAACTCAAACGATGGAAAAAAAAAGGGAAATGGGGGAAGGCATCTAGATCTGGGGGGGCGGGACGTACAGGAATATTTTTGAAAGAGGATTCTCACGAGGAAATCGACGACGGTTCTTGGGGGAAAAAAAAAAAAGGGCTTGGGAGATCCGTGCGATTTCGTCCCATCGGAGACCAAAAGCAGTTTCTCTCCAACTCCCTCTGGGAAGGTGACCTGGCCAGGGCCCAGAGACACTTTCAGGAAACAGATGTGAAGGGGAGCATCAGGGGCGGCTCCTCTCCTGTCCTTGGCTGCTCTCGGGGAGCCTCACTCCACAGCCAGGCGACGTCAGGGCGGACAGACAGGCAGCCGCCCTGAAGCACTCTGGGAAAATCCCTTCCAGGCCCCGCTGGGCGAACAGAACAAGCTTTCTGTCCTTGGAGGATGGTTTGGAAACTCCAATGAGAGAGACTCTTTCTGCTGTCGGTTCATGGGGCTGAGAAGGGGATTTGTCCTTCCAGGTCAGGGAGAGCAAGGACGCGTCCCACTGGCCAGGCTGCCTGGGTACAGCCGCCCAGGCCTGCAACTCCACACCCAGGACCGCGTGCACAGCCGGGGCCAGCCCCCGCCCCAGGATGGATGCTGCAGTGACTGTGTCAGCCACACTGCCACTGAGAAGGGTTGATCTTGATCTTGCATCTGGGTTTGTTTACAGCGATTCGTGGACTCCGGGGTATTTTGATCAGGGGTGGTTTTGGTTTGGCGGGGTGGGGGGTGGGTTGTTGGCTTTTTTTTTTTTTTTAAATGACAATGAAGTGACACTTTGACATTTCCTACCTTTTGAGGACTTGATCCTTCTCCAGGAAGAAGGTGCTTTCTGCTTACTGACTTAGGCAATACACCAAGGGCGAGATTTTATATGCACATTTCTGGATTTTTTATATGGTTTTCATTGACACGCTCCTCTCCTCCCTCCTGCTGCCAGGCCGCACCAAAGCCAACTGCCACGGGGCCATCTGGGCCGTTCAGAGACTTGAGGGAGAGTGGCCCGGGGTGGGCGGCGCCGAGGCGGAGGAGCATCCCACCCAGGATGGCTTTGGAAAGCAACAGATTGAGCGGAAGTGGCCTTGGGGGCCCGAAGGCCCGGCCCACTTCCCTCCCTCTGTCCTGCTCTGTCCAGTCCTTCCCAGGCACATAGGTTCCGTCGAGGTTCCCGAGCGCCCTCCGGGGCCAAAACCCAGTTTCACCTCTGGGAGCCTGAACCGGGCTGCCGCAGAGACCTGGACCTGGGTCATTCACTGTGATACCCCACCTCCAGGGCGCCCTCCAGACGGGCAGGCCTGTTTCTCTCCTTCCGGAAAGAAAGTGTGCGACTTGATTCCCACCAGGCCTCACGCAGGTCTGAAGGTCTTGGCCACCGGGAGACCCGCGGCCACAGACCCTCCCGTGAGCAAATGCAGGCACTGGGCAGAACGATCGGTTAGTGAACTGAATGGAAATAAACGCTTTAGTTATAAAACGACCCCTGTCCTCTGTAAGTTCCAAGAGGAGACCCTGGCACCCTAAGGACATGCCAAGTGGTTCATAATGCTCTTCCAAGGGATTCCCCCCATCCTTAGGATCTGCAAGGTGCAGGGCCGAGAAGACACATGGAGGACCATATATATATATATATATCTCCCCATGTGGCCTCTCTGGCTCTGGCTTCTCCAAGGCACAGGCGGCAAAAGCAGTGCATTGGAAGTGGCTGGGAACTCAGCGTTCCATGCCCTGGGGATCGGGGTGGGCCATGCAGGTGCACCGTGGGCAGGGAGTGGACAGGGGGTGCATTCAGTAGGCTGGGGCCAGAGCAAGGGGTTCTGGGTGTCCAGTGAGCTGTGGTCAGGGTGCTCTGTGATAGTGGGGGCGAGGGGGCCCAGTGTGCTCATGGGCTTCCAGTTAGAGGCACCAGTGTGCCCACCTTTCCGAGGCCACGCTGGTTCCCTGTGGGATGGGGAGGAGGAGGCAGGTGAGAGGTGCTCTGAGTATCGGGTCTGGCTGAAGAGGAAGAGCCAGGGAGGCCCCATCTCAGGACCTTTTCCTTTGTCACAGAGTTTCTTTAAGGGGCCTGCCCAGTGGGAAAGATGGAGGCCACAGGCCACCAGCTAAAGGCCCCGCGTCTGCACATCCAGCACAGACGGGCCTGTCATCTGTCGCTCACCTGTTCTCAGAGCCTGTGATGCAGAGGGAAGGAAGGGATTAGACAGGAGACCGAGCCTCTGGGGGCACAGCAGGGACAGCCACCGGGAAAGCATTGGCAGGTTGCCCACAAACTAGCCGGCAATGGTCCACTGGCCATCCTTTTGTGCCCCAAAGATGCCCAGCACGGGTGGCAGCTGTCCCAGCACACAAGGTCACCTTCTGGCAAGAGCTGCCCTGGTGCTCTTTAGATTAACTCTGTCTCCCCAGCCTCCCCCGCCCACCCCACCCCCACCTCCCACTGCCCCAGGGCCCCACAAGGGGCTGGCAATTGGTGCTTCCGTCAGATGGCTTCCTATCCCGAGTTGCTAGGCTGGTGTCTGCTAGCCAGCACGCCTGCCTGTCTACCCTCCAGGGCCAGAGGTCTCCAGTGGCCCTGGGCTCCCACATACCTGCTTCCCAGACTACAAGTGCTATCTAGACCCTCTGTCTCCTCTTCAGGGTCTCAGACAGATATCACTGTGACTGTCCGGGGGTGGGTCTCAGCTCACTTCCCAGTGCTGAGGCAGTTCCCTCTGCCACCTCTCCCTGGCTGCTCAGCAGGGAGTGGCACGTCATGCTGCCAAGCGCCTTCCACGTATGCTACCCGCTGGCCTGGGCACTCGGCTCCGAGCTGCCCGCTGCCTGGTTACTAATCCTTTCCTGGCTCAACCTCCCCAAGTGCCAGCCCCCACCTGCCCAGCAGTGTGAGAGAAGCTTCCGGCGGCTCGGCACACAGTTGGTTCTTAAGGGAAGAAAGCTGTCTTGCAAACCCAGGCCAGGGCACCGTGGAAATGGGACCAGCTGCTCTAGGAGCGGGACCCTGGCAGATCTGGCAGTGCGAGATGGGTAAGAGAGAGCCACGCTGCCGCCACCCTCCACTCTGGGCTCCCCAAATGGGTTGCTGGTGGTGATCATCAGCAGGCATCTTCCTGGAGATGACATTCTGAATATCTGTCACCTGGGAAGACACGTGCAGACCGATCCGAATAGATGATCGCCGTAATGTCGGACCCAAGGCCTCATAGGGGAACTAGAGTGAAGAGGGCCATAGAGGACATTTAAGAGACTCAGACAGGGTCAGAGCATCAGCTGGTCTAGATGGTCCCCACCTTATCCCCTCTGGGGGCTCTCTGCCACCCCCTTGTGGGCATTTACTGGCATTGCACCCTCACAGATGAGGTTCAAAGCTGGGCGCTCCTGCCCCTGCCAGGCCATCCTCATACCTGGCTGAAGCACGGGAAGGACGCAAGGCCACCCCCCCACACCCAGTGCCAGGCCCTCAACCACTCCTGGCTCTCTCCAGGGCCCCTAGAGTTCCAAGATGGTACCCAAAGCTGGAAAGACTCTTGTCAGGAAAAATCCTAGGAATGCTTTCAAGGGACAGGCGGCCCCGCGATGCACCCCGACCCCAGGCTGCAGCCTGCTCCTGTCACTAGGTGGAATGTGGATCTGGGGAGACACTGGCCCCTCACCGAGTGTAGTTTTCCATCTATGAAACAAGAGCAGGGACTGGGAGAGCCAGGCCTGCAAACACGGTGTCCACCTGGGTCCTGTGGGGAGGCCCCCCTTTCCCCCATATGAGAGAGAGAAACCGAGGCTCAGGGTGAAGTGTCTTGCTCAGGGTTACACCTCCAGCAGGGGGCAGAGTGGGGCGGGGAGCCGTGGTTCATCTATTCCCGGGGACCGCTCCAGCTTGCCGACCTAGATGGCAGGCGGCGCGTGGTGTCTAATGTGGGCTGATAAAGAAGGGAAGCTAAAGGGGTCTGGGGCTGCGAGGGAGGGCTTCCGGGGAGGCTCTCTTGAAAATGATAGAGGTCGAGAGAAAGGTACCTCCAAGAGGCAGCAACCAGCATGGTCCAGCACAGTGGACCTGGGTGTGGAGGGGAGAGGAGAGGTGCAAGGTGTGGGCTGAGGTCAGGGAAGGGAAGCGCTGGGTGTACTGTGCGGCCTAGCTGTAGAGTCTCCAGCACGAAGGTGTCAGCTTCTAGGAAGAGGAATCAGTTCCTCCGTCAGATGCAGCAGGCTCTCCAGATACCCCTCTGCCAGGGAGGAAGAGCCCCTGGTGCAGCCCTCATTGATTAACTTCCATCCTCACTGACGCAGATAATCCAAAGAGTCACTTAAGCTGCTTGGAACAGCAGGGCTGGACTTGGCACTACCTGATTCCCATGGAGCTGTGTCCACCCTGTTTCCTCCAGGCCTCTCTGAGAGCTGCCAGGCAGCGAGGAGTGGAGCATGGAGGTGAATAGGTAGGCAGGAAAACCGCTCCCTCCCCCTGGCCCTGGACAGATCACCTAGGCCTGGGGCCCTGTCCTTTTCAATAGCGGATCACACTAGGGGAAGCCACAGGGGAGCCCCAGTGTGCTGAGTGGTGCTTCACACCTGTGCACACCCTACCCGTAGGCCTTGACCCAGCTCCCATAAAATGGCACCTGCCCTAAAAGGTTAGGATGCGGACGGCCTCAGTGCTGGCCAGTTCCCCCTTCAGGAAAACAAGGTCGGGGCACTGGTTGCAGAATTGGTTTACGGTGCAGGAAATAAGTAGGCTCAGGGCAGCCCCATGGGAGGCTGGTCTCAGGAGCTTGCAGCCACCAGGAGTGATTGCTGTAATAGCCGGGCACTTACCACGTGCCAGGTACTGTCCTCCCCACCTTGCAGATGAGGAAAATAGGATCCCAGAGGTGATTCCAGAAGATTCCAACCTGGCCACCCACCTGCTGTCCGTCCACTCGAAATGTCTGCCGTCAACCCCTGGATCAGACTCTCCTGGGCTGCTTAGTGCTTAACCTGCCGCATCCCAGGCTTCACCCTGCCCC